TTTGACTAACTTTACATACATACATATACATATATATATATATATATATATATACACACACATATATATATAAAGGTGGGCGTGGTGGCTCACGCCTGTAATCCCAGCACTCGGGAGGCTGAGGCAGGAGGATCGTTGCGAGTTTGAGACCAGCCTGGACTACAAAGTGAGCTCAAGGCCAGCCTGAACTGCATAGTGAGACCCTATCTCAAAAAGACAAAAAAACAAAAACAAAAAAAAGGCACCGGGTGTAGCAGCACATGCCTGGAATCCCAGCACTTGGGAGGCTGAGGCAGAAGGATCTCAACAAGTTCAAGACCAGCCTGAGCTAAAAAGGGAGCTGAAGGGGCTGGGGATTTAGTTCAGCAGCATAAGCACCTGCCTTGTAAGTGTGTGGTCATGAGTTTGATCCCTGGTAAAAAAAAAAAAAAAAAAAAAAGGAGCTCAAGTCCAGCCTGAACTGCATAGGGAGACCCTGTCTCCAAAATAAATAAATAAATGCACCCCTGGATTCCATCCCCAGTCTCTGTCTCTCACACACTCAGTTCACTTCACCCTTGCACAAAAGGAAAATCCATGATGTACTCTAGAACAACCCAGTTTGTGGCACACCCCAGGTGGGAGGGACCCACAGGGAAGGGGCTTGAGGGGATTTTCTGGGATAACAGGAAGGGAAATATTGCGTGCACCAAGCTACATGTTTGTGACCTTGTGCATTTCACTTCATGCAAATTACACCCCAATGAACAGGTGAAAGTTTGAAAGCTCCACCTGGGTACCTAGGGATTTATGCTGCAACAGATCATCACGGGAAAACGGTGCCTTTACAAGGTAATTTCCGGAGGCATTATTTGGAATCTCAAAAGACTGGAAACCACCTAACTGCCCTCCCCTAGGTGACTGTTTAAATAAATCACATTAATTCCATTCAATAGAGGAATACTATGCAGCCATATAAAAAGAATGAGGAAGCTCGGGGGCCCCACAGGGCAGGTGCTCGAAGAAGGTGCTTTTCTGCAGAAAAGGTGAGGTACGGAATGGCACAGAAGAGTTTTATGTTTTCTAATGTCCACTCTCACTCTTGTCGCTGTAATACCATCCAACCCACAGGAAAGCTGGCAACTACTGCTCTGGAATCTTTCAATCTATCCATATCATGAAAGACAAAGCTGTCACAGCAGAGAAGTGCAGAGTGCGAAGTGGGGCCTTGGGGGAAAGAACCACTGGTTATGAAGGGTGCATGCACAGCTGAGCAGACCTGGATAGGGACCCTCTCCAAAACGTGTATCCTATCTCACTCCAAAGCTTCTGACTGTGATAATCACACAGGACTGATGGAGGCTGGGGCCCCAGTTCTTAGGAGACACCTGCTGAGGTTTTTGGAGGCTAAGGAGCCTTCCTGATGACCACTACTGTCAAATAGTCAGGCCAAAAAAAAAAAAAAAAAAAGGAGAAGGAACGCTGTGCGGATTCAAGAGTATTTAGATAAAGCAAATTAGGTGTCAACACAGATGCCAGTCACTCAAGACAAAGGGGACACAGCTGTTCACTGTGCTCATCTTACAAGGTCTCTGCAACTTAGAAAAATTCAAAATAGCAACTTGAGAAGAAAACACATGAAGATCCCCCCCCCCTTTAATAAGGTGGGGAGCAGAATACATGCATTGCTTTTGTGTCTATGCTGCTGGGGATCAAACCAGGGCCTCCCATATGCTGGGCAAGCATTCCACCACTGAGCTATACCCCAGCCAGTGTGTCACCTGGGAAGCACAGGCAGGGTGGGTGACAGTGGTTTCCTAGGGACAGCTTGGGAGAGGACTTGATCTAGCAACAGCTCCATTGAGATGTACTTCACACTCCAGAGGCTCTGCACCTTGGGGTGCAGCTTGAAGGGAGCCCTTGGCTGGTGAGAGTGAGTCCCTGTTCCATCCCAGCACTGCCACGGAAACAGCAAGTTCAGTGCTCTTAGCATACTTCCTCTTGCACAGCCACCACAACCCATTTTAGGGGCTTTCATCTCCCACTCCCCAGAAGGCCACATCCCTCGGCAACCCCTCCCGCTGGGCCCATCACCCGATGGCCAGTGTGAGGAAGGACAGGCCCTGCATGTGGTTACCTCTCCTGGCTGGCACAGGACGCGCACTTGTCACATGCTGTGCCCTGGCCCTGTAGTGTCCTTCAGCAGAGCAGCACATGCCCAACAACCCCAGAAATGAAGCCACAGGCGCCAGGGTCAGGCCCTGGCTTTTGGTGACTTCCTGTGATGCTGCCTGCCCTGCCTGTACCCGTGCAGCGCTGGAGCCCAGGGCTTTGGAGCAGGCCAGCCCTGCGTACCCACTCCCCACAGCCACTTCTCCTGAGGGTCTCCAAGGACACAGCTGCGACCACCACTGCACCCCTTCCGGTATCTCACGCCCCAGAGCTGAGCCCTGACAGCCCCTCACGTTCCATGGTCCCCTGAGTCTATCACTTCAACTTTTGTGTCTCCCCCTCAGTCGGTCCCACAAGTTTAGGTTACAGATTCCTCCTGAGCCTGCTCATGGTCTCCCCCTGCTGGGCTGTGAGCTCCGTGAGGAGCTGGCATAGAGGTCCTTGAGGGATCAAGGTCTGCGGTTTTGCTTCCCTCACCAGGGCAGCTGGAGAGATTCTGGACAAACAGGTCAGTCCATCCCCATCTCTCTGCTCAAAGCCTGCCCCGTCCCTCTTCTTAGGCAAAACCAAGTTCAGTCCTCACCATGGTCTCCAGGTACTGCACTATCTGGCCCCGAGTTCTGATGCTACCTCTCACCCTCCTCCCTGGTTTGTCACTGGCCTCACTGTTCCTTACATATAGCAGGTCCAGTTCTACCTCAGGACCTTTGCACAAGCTGTTGATAGTGCAGATATCCCTGGCTCCTCAGCTGCCACCTTTTACTGATGCAGGGTCACCCCTTCCTGGGACTGCCCACCTCCCTTTCCTGCTGTTCTGCTATTGGTTATCACTGCCTGGCATGTTGTACCCTTCTCAGTTCTCAAAGAGCAGTCCCTGGGAGAGCAGCAAGAGCTACAGGCAGGACTTGCTGGGAAAGCTCAGTGTCAGGCAAACCTAGGACTACACTAGGACCATCGGGGGCCAGAGGGGCAGCCCGTGTTGTAAAAAGAACTCCCACGCTACTGGTGCAGGCCTGTCACCTCAGCACTCAGGAGGCTGAAGCAGGAGGATCTTGAGCTTTAGTCCTACTCGGGCAACTTGAGGAGTTCACATCTCATGGTACAATGGAAAAAAAGGGTTGGGGACGTAGCTTAATGTGACAGTTCAATCTCCACTAATACCAAGTAAATAAATGAGTAGAGAACAAACCCCCACATTTCAACCCACTGGGGCCTGAGGAGCACTGCTGTTTATCTTCCACACCGTCTCTGCTACTAGGACAGGAGCTCCATGACAGCAAGGATTTGTCTTTGGTTTCCTGAGATAGCTCCTGCACCTACAAGAGCTCAATAGCCATGGTTAAGTGGTTGCATCGCACCCTTTGGAAACCTGTGCATTTTCCCACTGTGGCCTTAGGCTTCCTTCCCTGGGCCTCTGATCACGCTGCCTGTGGACTGACTGTGTTTCTGCCTCCTGCACCAGACTCTTCTCTGGCCTCCACCTGCCCTTGGGAAGTATGAGCTGGATGAATCCTCCTCTCAGCTGCCTAATCCCGCCACTTCCTGTCTCAGCACCAACTCAGCTCCTCCAGGCTGGCTGGCTGTCCCTGGGCTCCCACAGTGCGTCTCATGACATCTGTCATGACATGTGTGTTCCAAGCTGGACTGTCTCAGTTTGGGAGCGCCTTGAAAATAAGGCTGAAGGTCTCACCCAAGCCAGGACCCCAGCATCAATCAGCATGGTGCATGGACCACAGGTGAGTTTAGATTTCCAGTGTCACCAACTCGGCCAACGCTGCTGAGATGTCTCTCGGTGCTCAGCTGTGGCTCCCAATAGGTTGAGATCTCTCATCCTTTCCACAACCAGACTGTCATAGCTCCCAGACCCAGCAAAGGTCAGAAACAGGGCAGGAAGCTCTCTAAGGGCTACTAGAGACCTGAGTGAAGTGCAGGAAAGAGAAAGCAGACTAGGCAAGGGCAAGTTGCTAGATGGAGTCAGGCCCCTGCCTTCAGTTGTTCCCCAAACCTGCTCCCCCCTTGCCTTCTCCATCTGGCCCACTGCTCAGACCACGAAGCCGGTTGCCCATCACGTCCCCCGACTTCATCTGTATTTCTCTTGTCTTCAGCTCCAGCTCTAAACACATCAAGCTCCTGCCTGCCCCGGGGTCTGCGCTTGTGGGTCGCTCCTCCCACACCTTGCATCCCACTGCGGACTTTTCATCTCAGACGCGGCTTCCCCAAGAAGCGGCTTCCCGCACGGGATTGCATGAGCCAGCTCTAGTTTTCTGCATTTAAGGCACCGCAGCCGGGAAGCACTGCCTTGCTACTGCAAGTCCTTCTCTACAGTCTGCCGTCCCCGAGGTTGAAACCTCAGACTTGACTGTGAAGTGACGCCTGGGACCGAGTAGGCCACCAATATCCAACGAGTAGAGAGAACTGCACAGGCCTGCACGTGGGCACAGGGTCCAAGGCCCCCTGCGAGGCGATCCCCGACCCCAGGTCAGGCCCAGGAGCCCGCAGCCCTGCCCGCCACGAGGGCCCCTCCCGCCACTTTCCGGCCCACGCAGGCAGATCACTGGTCCCGGAGGCCCCGAACCAAGGCGGCCCCTCCTGCAGACACGTCTCGCGCGACCCCTCACAGCACCTTCTCAGAACTGAGCTAGTGACTCCCCAACTCCGTCCCCTGCCCAGCCGAATTCCACGCATCTCTCTCCTCGCTTACCCGCTTCAAACAGCCTTTCCCGCCACAGCGTACAACACCGCGACCTTTGACTCCAGCGTGCGCATGCCCAGAGCAACCAGGCAAGGGCGGGCCACACCCCCTTCCTCCTCGCGCGACGAGGCCACGCCCCTAAACCGGAGCCCCGCCCCGTTACACAAATTCTTACGGGTTCAACGCTTCGGTAACGTGGCCGCATGACCACGCCCCTTCCCGCACGCCCTCCAAATTTTCCAGCGCTGCGCCCCAACCTCCAGGCACAGAGGTGGGGTCAGGACGACTGCCCGTTCTACCGCCCGGCCTTCCCGCGGAGGTTGCTGTCACGGGACTCCCAGCCTCAGTTTCCCATTCTGTAAATCGGACCCAGTGGAAAGGATGAACCCTTGCAACTGTCATCTCTGTTGTTCCGTGCTCCCCGCTCCGCATCCACGCTCCTTCTCAGCGTCTTCCTTGCAACCCGCCCCAACTCCGTGATCTGAGAGGACATCGCGCCGGGAGTACCCCACAGCCAGCGAGCACCACTCCCAGATCCAGGCCCTGGCTGCTGCTTCCCTAACAAGGGAAGACGCTGCCTCCTGTGAGCTCCACGCTGGTTTGAGCCGCCTTATCCAAGCTCCTCACCTACTTCCCGTCAGTCCCACCCGTGTCCCCCCGCCTCGCAGGAAGCTCAGAGAGACGTTTTTCTTGTTCTCTGTAGGTCCCAGTGAAATAACTGCTCCACCAACGCCTGCGGAACAAGAGCCGTGGGACCCAGAGTGCCAGTAGCCCCGCCCACAGGGGTTTGAGGGGCACTTGCTGACCTACAGAATTTCTGGTCCCTCAGCACCTTGAGTGCTCTTTGTCCAGCAAGGGCGGTGCCCATTCAGCTTGTGCCAGGAGGGGACAATGACCCCGCGGCCGCCAGGGCAGGTGGCCCTGGATGCAGCTGGTGCTTCAGCCAATCAGCCTGGGGAGCTGAATCAAGCAGGGAGTGGCATCAGTGAAGAACCTGGAAGCCCCCCATTCACTGCTCAGGCCGGCGGTTCAGAGCCGGCTTATACCCTTATTTTCTCGTTTTTGTTGTTTTTAGTTTTTATTAAATAAAAAGGAACAGAGGCAGAGGGCGCCTGTGGCTGCCCTCACTCTGTTCAAGGTGCACTGTGTGGGGGCTGGAAGTGTAAGCTGGGCAGGGAGAGCAGCGGGAGAGGTCAGAGGTCAGGACTTGGGCCCCATCACCCTGCCTGGAAGACTCAGTGGGCGGGAAGGTGACTTCTGGACCCCAGCTGGAAGGCCATAAGACCAACAGGCCTGGCCGCCCCCCTCTCCCCCAAGAACGATGACAGCGTCCATCCATCCGTTGAAGGGTGTCGGGCAAGGCTGGGGACCGGGGTAGCCGGTCCCTTATTCATGGACATCCCAGATCTCAGAGAGCAGGGGTGGCAACTTCTTATCCTGGAGCCGCAGGGCGAAGACCTGCTCGGAGTGCACAGAGCTCAGAGTGCGCAGGCTCACAAGCTTCATCAGCATGCGCGGGAAACGGAGCTGGTCCTGAGGACAGAAGGGAGGTGCTGCTGGCTCCCTGTCCCCGCCCTGCCAGGAGCCCCCCAAGGCCCAGCCTGGGAAGAGCAGAGGCTGGGAGGCCATAGGCCTGAGGGCCGGCCCACCTGCGGCCTCTTGATGCGTGTGTAGGAGAGCAGCGCCTCCACGTAGGGCTGCTGCAGCGCCTCCACTCGGCTAGGCTCCTGCACGTTGGGGCGGTCGGCGGAGAAGATGTTGATGGCGATGAGCAGGGCGTACTCTGCATCGTCTAGCCCCAGCCGCCGCATGGCCCGAGAGAACTCAAAGATGGGGTTGATGAACTCTACCTGCAGGCCTGCGGCGGGACCAGAAGCCAGAAGTCAGCTCCCTCTGCCCACGCTGCTATCTGTGCACCCCTGTTAGTGGGTGAGTACAGCAGCCATGGCAGGTTCCTATCACTTCTGATGTTCTGTGACCCTGAGCCTGGCGTGGGGCAGGTGTCCTATTGACCCTGGCAGCACACACATTTACTGAGCACTTCCTGCCATCCTCATGCCCTGGGACAGCAGTTTACAAGAGGAAGGCTAGCTCTCGGGGGATTCTGGGGTGGAGGGAGCAGGTGATAAGCATCAGTGAGGACCCACCCTGTCAGAGGGTGACAGGCTTTAGGGACAATGCATGGTAGTGAGGCACTGAAGATTTCGTTCACCTGTCCAACACCTTGAGCAGGGCATGAACAAGGCAGGGAGGGAGCAAGTTATGGGCTGCCCGAATGTCCTGGGTGTGTCTGTTCTCCCCACTTAGGGTTACACAGGCCATGAGGCTTTCTGCATTCAAACAGCAGTTCCTGGGCACACCCGATGATGTGGGCATGGTCATTCCAGGCAAATGCACAGTAAGTCCAGAGGCCTTACTGGAACCAGCTTGAAGGTTTGAATGCAAGCCAGAAGGCCAGTGGTCATGGAGGAGGTGGGCACAGAGGGCAGAGGAGGAACAGGGCAGGTTTGAAGAAGGGCTCTGTGGCCCACAGTGAAGACTGTCTCTTCTCCCTTTAAGATGGGAGCCATAAAAGGTTGCAGCACAGGAGAGCCAGCCATGACAATACCCCTCGGACTGCTGTGGGAACAGGGGCGCTGGAGACGAGTTGGGCAGCAGTGAGGGTGCCCAGCCTCCTCTCCAGCCCCATCTACTGTTTAGGCTTCCTGTCATTCTTTAAAACCCTCTAGCTGCTCCCCTCTGCCAAAGCTCCACTGAGTCCTCTACTGTAAGCTCACAAGGAAAGGGCCACTGGGACTGATTTGGGGACAAGGAGGGGCTGGAAGCTGGAGGACAAAGGCAGGGCCAGGAAGAGCTGATCAGGGACACCCAGACATGCCCCAGGGAGAAGCAGCAGCTGCGCTAAGAAAGCCCCATGGAGCTGCAGGCCAGGCCTCTGAAACTCCCGCCCTTCCCCAGCTCTGACCCGGTGGGCCTTGAGGCCTGAGGTGCGCTTCCTGATGCACTTGATACATGAAGCCTTCTGGCTCTCATGTTGGCTCCCGAGAGCCCACTCTGGAGGCTCCACTGGGATGTGGTTGCGGTCCTGATACCCACTCCGGCCCCACTCAACCCCCACTCTGGTGACCTGCGCGGTGGAAGTCGTCCTTGCTGTAGGTGAAGTCTTTCAGGAAGGTGATGCATTCTGTCTCATGGTTGTATCGCCGGGCTGTCTCCAGCAGCATGATCTGAGGGTGGCAAGGGCCCAGGACCTTTAGCTGCTTCTCTCTCCATCCTGGCCCCAAAGGGCCAGTGGCCTGCCACAGCAGTATGCAGTGCTACACCTGAGCTCTCTGCCCCCACCCCTCAGACTCTTTCCCGGGCAGTTCCAGGCATGGTACAGGGAGTTTTGCCTATTCATTGCCATAGGCCAGTCGAGCTTTGCATGCAGACAGTGCTCAATATTTAACTCACTGGCTCAAATGGCACCCCAAGAGTGTTGGGCGTATTTCCAGTAAAGTAGGCCCCTCCAGCCAATCCTCCATTATTCTCAGCCTCAGCCCCTTTTCCCTTGGCCCCTGGGAAGCCCTGAACACCCTGTTTAAGAGTCTGCAGGCTCCTGTGTTCGTGCCCTTTACTCTGCTGCCACTATCTGTCTCACTGTAACCTCGGGGGTCCCTGTAGGGAGAGGGGAGGGTAGCCTGGCAGTGACCTCGATGGTGGATGCCTTCAGGAGGGCGATCTGGTCCTCACGGCCCAGCTGCAGGAAGCCAGGCACCTGCTTGGCAAAGTCCACAATCTCTTGGACCGAGATGATGGCCAGCTCCGTGAAGTGGGCGAAGCGCTGCTGACGGGCATCGCGGGACTGGGGGTCTGCACCCAGGGGCCAGGGCTGGGATGCAGGAGGCTAGGGTCACTCCCGGCAATGCTCTAGGGAGCCTTCTGCCCCCTGCAGCCCAAAGCCATCCCCCAACCCGTGTCACATGAGGGCAGAGAGGGGCATAGTACCGTGACTTTGGGCTGGTCAGAGAAGGAGCGCTTGTTGCACTGTAGCTGGGCCGCCACCAACTGCTGGATCATTAGTTCCTGAGCTGCTGTTAACTGGATACCCTCACCTTCCCCAGGACCCTGGCTGCCAGCCTCAGACCCTCCCGGGGAAGTCCCAGGGCCAGAGGTTGAGCTGCTGCTGCTCCCTGGCTCCACGGGCAAAGGCTGCTGTGGCGGTGGCTGCTGCTGTTGCTGCTGCTGCTTCTGAATCTTCTTCTTCCGGATCTGCTCTTCTGAGAGCACACCTGCGGGGGATGCAGGCCTCAGCAGCAGTCCAGCCTGGGCAGGCGCCGGGACAGGTGAGCCCCGCCCTGCACTCACACTGCTCCCTCATCCCGGCCTCCTTGCACTTCCGCAGCCGGCACTGCTGGCACTTGCGTCGCATGAAGGCATCCATCTGGCAGGTTCCACCACCCCGGCAGACATAGCGCCCGGCTCCACCATGGACCACACTGCGCCGGAAGAAGCCTTTGCAGCCTTCACAACTCAGCACGTTGTAATGGAAGCCAGAGGCCTTGTCCCCGCACACACGGCACAGCTCATGGCCCAGCATCTTTGGAGCTGGGCCCTTCTTTCGCTTGCGCTCAGGCTCGGGCTCCTCATCTGGTTCTAGGATGACTGGGATGGACAGACGAAGGCCATAAGAGAGAGCCACAGAGACAGACCGCAGCCAGGGTGCAGGTACTCGAGCCAGCCTAAAGGGAAGAGCCAGAGAGCAGAGGGCGACCAAGCAGATGCGTGCAGCTAGGGCCCAGCAAGCCAGAAGGAAGGTGAGGAACGCAGTGGGCCACAGAGAAAAAGTCGAAGCAGGAGGCCTCCAGAACAAATAGGAGGAAATGAACAGGAAACAGGAGCCCCCATCTTCTCTGCTCTGTTTCTCATCTCTCCCCTGCCTAGTCCCCTCCCAGCTCCACACCAGCTCCCTATCCTGGACCCTGGGCCCCATCTCACCCACGATGCAGGCCGAGCTGGCCCCATCGGAGCCTGGGACATCAGGGTCCGGACCCTCAGGCCACGGCTCAGGGCCCTCCTTCTTTATAGTGGGTGAAGAGGAAGAGGTGCTGGGCTGAGGGGGGGCATTTCCTGAGAAGCAGAGGAAAGACAGGAAGGGACAGTGAGCGTCTGCCAGCGTGTGACCAGGTTGAGTGAGGAAGAGGATCACTCACCAGGCTGGGGGGTGTCCCCGGAACTCGTGGTGGGGGAAGACATGGTGGGGTCACGAAGCAGCCTGCGGAATATAGGGGACTGAGAGGCTTGTGGTGCTTGGGAGGAGTAGACCGGGCCCTTTTCCTTCCCCGAAATGTTTTCTACTACTGCGTACTTTTCACTTTCAGCTGGGTGCAGTGACACAAACCCACAATCCCAGCACTCAGAAACTGAGGCAAGAGAATGGCAGTGCGTTCCAGGTCAGCCTGCACAGTCACTTCGAGGACAGCCTAGATTATGACTAGACTATGGATGAAGACCCTGTCTCAAAAAAAAAAAAAAAAAAAAAAAAAACAACAAAAAACACTACTTGCTGCCCTAATTCTCTTAGCCTCCTTCAAATCGCTCCTCCTCTTCCAAGCCCTGCCCATCTGTTCCGGTCCAAATACCAGCCATTCCTTCAACCACAGTGTCAAGGCCTCCCTCCATCCGGTTTCACACCACCACCTACTCTTACTAAGCTGCCACCTCACCTCGGCTAAGAAAGGCCCCCTCGTCTGATTCTGATCCCATCTCCTCGCATTGTGCTCCGCCCATCTTTTCCTCCTAGGCGCCGCCCCATTCCCCCCAGGACCCGCGGCCCACATCCTTGGATAGCCTTCCCAACAGTGCGCCCCGCCCCATCAGCGCCCCCTGCCCAAAGCCCCGCCTACTCCTCGCTTCAGAGCTCGCCCCTCTCCCCCCACCAAGCTCCGCCCCACACCTCGCTCCAGGTCCCGCCCCTCTCCGAGTGCCACTGGGAGGCGGGGCTCATGGCTGCGCGGGGGGTTCTAAAGAGCTGCCTTGCGCTGGGGTCTGCTGCTCCCGTTGCCCTGGAAACATCCGGGGGAGGTGCGAGCTGTGGAGTGGAGGGAATGGAAGAGGAGCGGGAGGCTGAGTGAGGCGGGCGGACAACCCGGGGCAACCCAGGGCCAGGCTCCTCCCGCCTCTACCCACTCTCGAGTACACTTGCCTCCGTCCCTGGCTCTGCTTCTCCTCCGCAGCCCCTGACAGGCCAACGCTACCGGGTCCCCTCAAAAGTAACTTCTGGGAGGCTGGGTTTGTAGCTTGCCTAGCATGCGTGAAGCCCTGGATTCGGTCCTTAGCACCGCAAAAACGAGGAAAAGTAACTCCGCCACTTCTTCCGGCAACCCCCGCCTTACGTCATTTCCGGAAGAGGGTCCGCTAGCGAAAAGCGACGGACTTCCTGTTCGTTCTTGCAGGTTTGAAGGACTGCCCCACGCGGAAGTCGTCTGCTCGCTGAGTGTATTTCTCCGGGTAGCTCATCTGAGGTCCGGCAGAAAAGTTCCGGCAAGATCAGTAGATGTTAGGTTTTAGAAAGGGTGGACGGCGGCAAGCCTTAAAGCTCAGCGCTTTGTTGCCCTTCGTCCTTGCGCTTGTCTGGGGCTCCGGCTAAGGATTTAATGGTCAGAAATCTCTGGCAATGGCTGCTTCTCGCGCATGGCTAGTTTGAAGGATGTTTGACTTCTGGTGGTTGTGAATTTTGTGGTTTTGTAGGCATGCTGCATATTTGTTTTAAATAGGTTAAATCCAAACCTGGATCCAGAATTGGTTCTGCATTTTGTTTTTTGTTTCCTCAGTGCTGGAGAGGTAACCCCTACTTTCTGCATGCTAGGCGAGCTCTACCGCTCAGCTACACCTCCAGCCCCTGGAAAGAAACATTTTAAAAACAAAATTTTGGTGATTGGAAAAATTAAATGATTTTAAAGCCTTGTCTCATATTACTGGAGAGGTGAAATAATAGCTTTCCAAGAAAAATCAGAATATTTGAACATACAAGGTGAAAATTTTCCTCAACTCTCCCCCCCCCCCCGCCCGCAATAACCAGATCTTTGTTAAGCATGCTGTATACTTTTGTTTTATAGTCAGTTGTTTTTTCAGTTCTAAGGCTCAAACCCACAGAGTGTGCTTATGCAGAGCTACAGCTGATCTGCAACCCCTGTCCATGCATGCTTTAAAGTATATTTTATGTATGTGTGTGGGCATCATCTGTATAAGAGATTACAGAAGCCCTTATCTATTATTTTTCTACCCCTTCTGTCTCTCACTGAGGACTGAGCCCAGGGAGTACTGAGCTACATCTGCAAACCTTATGTGTTTATTTTTACCAGGTATTGAACTTGTTACCAGCTGTCAGATCCCCATGGGAGGCTTCCCAGGTTCTCTGTATCCTGAACAAAGAAGCAGACAAGATGTCAGAAAAAGTAGTGAGATGCACATGTACTGAAGGTAGAAAAGAAGTTCGCTCTGCAGAGTGAGAGCAGGCATGAACAGACTCACAGTGGCAGTGGAGAAAGGAAAGGGGTCTTCTGTATCTGGAATCTCTGTATGCCTTCTGCCTGTTGCAAACAAGGCATTGGAACCACTATCCTATCAGGAACTCGCTGGGCTGGTGCCAGGTTTCCACTGTCCTGTGGAAAGTGTGTAATTTGGGAGAGGACTGTATATGGATCTACCACTAGAGGGTGGATGAGGATTACTGCCACATTAATGAAATGGGAGGTCTTCTAGCCATCCAGAAAAGGTCTTCTCCTGAAGGCTGTACTATGGGGAGAGTGGGAGTACTGCCCCAGCAGGCCATGTGTGAGGGGCTGGGGGCTTTTGCAGGGCTCTTTTGTGATTGGATATTGGTTTTGATTGGGAAATTACCAGGTTCTTTTAGTATCATAAACACTGGCATTGCTGAATTTGCTCTCCCTGGTGTTCCACTATACCAGGGATGGTGAACCTTTTAGAGCTTTCAATGATAATAAACAGATGGCTGCGGCACACAGCATAGGTTCAGCACCTCTGTGTTATACCATGCAGCAGGATCTACCTGTGACTAATCAGTTTCCGGAGGCTTGGTATAGTCTGAACACATAAAATCTACTCTGTCTTTGTGTGGAACTGGAGAATCACTCCCCAGTTTTCGTACTATAATACCTTACTACTAAGGGAGCAGGACACCTCAGGCCAATTAAAAGCTCATGGTTGAAGCTGCTTGCAGGGGTGCAGTCTTGAAATCCCAGCACTCATGAGGCTGAGGCAGGATTGTCGTGAGTTCAAAGCCAGCCTGGGCTCCATGCTGAGTTCAAGGCCAGCCTGGACTACACTGAAAGGCCTTGTGTTATGGTTTGTGTCTAGGTGACCCACCAAGCCTCATGCAGTCATAGAGGTGGCTGAATCTAGCATTTGTGATTGGTTCATTGTGTAGCACTGGGATTGGCGGTGTGAGTGCTGCATCTACCTGGAGCGAAGCCAGCATACAATATAAGGGAGGGAAGAAGGCATGTTTTTTCCCTCTTTTGTCCTTTTAGTTTTGCTGCTTGTGGCTGCCATGAATGGTTGCCCCTGTCATGCCACCCTGCCTTGGAGCCAGCTGAATATGGACTGAAACCTCCAAAACTGTAAGATAAATAAACTTTTCCTTCCCTAATTTTGGGCCTCAGGTATTTTGTCTCAGCAATGAGAGAAAAGTAACTAAGGCACCTTGTCACACACCCACACACAATGATTGAACACTAACCTTCAAATTGACATGTCAGAGCATATCTAATGAGTACCCCTCATCCCAGTTTTGGCTATAGATCTGGAGGGAGATTTTCCAGAGAAGAGGTCAAAACAGAGGGACCACCCCCATGTCCAAAAGGAATTTAAAGCACCTACATCTGGGGTCCATCTAGCTTCCTCACAGGAGCTAGAGCTGCTTGAGGACAGAGACGCTGCAGGTTGTCCCTAAACCCTTTTGTCCTCCTCTGCAGAGTAGGAGGTGTGGGTTCTAGCAGGCCCAACCTCTCTCCAGGAGGGGGACCATCACCCCTGAAGCACACAGATAAGGACATCAGCCACCTGACACAAGGGACAGGGTCCAGATGGGAGCCAGGTACAGGGGCCCCTGCCCAGTCTCCTCGCATCTCAAGTAGGGAAGTTTTCCCTGAGCAGCCCTGAGGTTGTTGCTTCAAGCCCTGCAGTTACCATAGTTATTCTGGTTGCCTTAGGCTCGGTTCCCGCCGCAAGGGCAGGGTCGCTGAGCTGTCCTTGGCACATCTCCCAGCCCCTTCTAGGACTCTGCTCTTCTGGGGAGCAACAAGTGACCAAGACGCACTTGCAGGTCCCAGCAGGAGAGGTCGGGGCGACCCCTTTGCAGACACCAAAGGGCTTTGAAAATCAGCCTCAGCATCTTGGGGCCAGCCAGGCTGATTGATCTGTACTAGGGTGTGGGGGGCTTCTCAGGGGCGGGAGGAGGGAGCTGTGAGCAGGAGGGGGAGCCCTGGGGCTAAGGCACTGGCTGCGGGTGGAGCTTCTGAGCCCCTTGGGGAGGGGGCTGATTTCCTGGTCCAGGGATGATGGATAAGGAGGTCTGGGGGCTCCCAGTGGCTTCTTTCATTGAACAGCTGAGGGACAACGATGTCCCCAGAGCCAGGCGGGGTCCCAGGATGGGCTCAGCAGTGACACCCACTTCCTTCAGTGACCTCTTTAAGCATCATAGCTCTGTGGCCTTGGCAGAGCGGAGGTTTCTAATAAAAAGCAACAAGAACCTGTTTCTTTGCATTTTGCAGAAAAGATATAATTGAAGAATTGTACTGTAATTTAGACCGTTGCCCTGATATGGGAGATTAAGGCATGGCAAGGCTGGCTGGGGGAGTGGGTAGAACAGTTCCCCAGGGGCTGGCTGCATGAGGATGGAATAAGACAGCCTGGGCATGACATCAGTGGAAGCCCAGAATCCCAGCACTGCCGCTCAGAGCCCCGATGTACAAGTTCTCGCGAGTTTTTGTGAGATTTGGATAGCATATAAAGCTGCAGGTCCTGTGAAAAGCTTGATAGTCTGACTTTCTTCGTGGTACCCTGTCTGCTTACCAAAGATGTCGTTTTATTGCTTTTTCTCCTTTTTCTCGGCCCCGACTCAGTCTACACAGCCAGTTTCTCCCTCCCTCTTTACTTTTACTTTCTAGAATAAACGCAGCCACCACTTTTTGCTCATTTTGTTCAATCCTTTGTTCAAGAAATCTAATGGCAGGAGAGGCCAGCAACCCAAAGTCTGGTAATGTTTAGTTGGAGCCACTTTTAGAAAGAGCTACTCATAACAATTCTGTACCCATCGCTCACCAGCTCTGAGAAATGGTATTATCTTCTCAAGAGGAAGACAAGTCTTTTTTTCTTCCCAGATCATCAGGATCAAATTCTTCCCAATTCTTTCCATAGCCAATGGTCCAGCCTCCCCCACCACTGGCTCCATCTAACTGCAGTATCTGAGAGAGCAGATCCCTCCCATTTGTCCTGATCATAGAAGATAATTATTTTTATTATTTTTAGGACAGCAGAAATAAACTCATTTTTCAACATGTAAGAAAAAAAGCCTTTTGATGGGCGTGATGGTTCAGGCCTGCAAGCCCAGCACTCAGGAGGCTGAGGCAGGAAGAGTGCTGCAAGTATGAGAGGACAGGATGGATTACATAGCGAGATCCTGTCTCAAAAAACAAAACAAAGCCAAGGCGCCAAGGTACTCTCTTCCCTTCGTTCAACCATAAACATCACAGCACTCTAGAGATTATCGTGGTTTAACTCACTGACTGACAGTGTGGGGGTGGCCCTTTAACTCCTGGAAGCTTGAGTCGGCAGGCTTTTTCCCCAGTTCCTTTATTCACTTTCTCCTGCTTTGCCCTTCTGCCAGCTCCTGCTGGACCTGTCCAGTGCCCTTCCTTGCACGTGAGGACTTACTGCGTAGCTCGAGTCACACCTTGGCAGGTCTTTCCTCGCCATGCAAAAGAATCTGGGCTGCTCTGGGCCCACTGACTGGGCAGCTCCCCATACAGCGCTCAGGAACTGCAGAGCCACCCTGGTTCCTGTGACTTTGTTAGATTCTTCCTGCTCACTGGACCATTTCTGTCTCAGCCCTAATCTGCGACTACAAACGCAGGGTGTCCCCACAAGCTACATCCCCAACCCTTCTTTCACAGTTTCATTTTGACACTAAGTCTCGCTAAGTCATGCAGGCTGGGCTTCAACTTTCCATCCTTTGCCTGAGCCTCCCAAACAGCTGGGCTTATGGGAGAGTGCAGCCACTGCTGCTTGGTTTATTCTTGTGTTAAAGTTGTTTCTAACTTTCCAGGA